TTTTTTCTGTTTGATTAGAATGATTTGTCACCAATGCCAAACAACTAAAAAAACATTATAAAATGCACTCACCGCACCGGTTGTATGACATTTAGCCTTACATCCTTTCGTCACACCAGTCCACAAAATGCAATTCGATTTTAGAGTCTTTCGCAATTGAAATTTGAAATTATTGATAACCATCATTTTTCGTCCGCGTTGGCTCAAAATGTAATCAATAAGCAGTTCACTGAACATTTTAAAGAAACGAGGGCAAATGAACACAAATTTTTTTTTCGCTTAACTTTAACTAGATATCAATAGAATTCTGTATAATTCATGAATAAAAATGACTGAATTGCATTTGAATTATTTAACCCTTAACTACTGACGTGGATGTTTCAGGACGTAGACTCTGACATGCGGTATGTGATACCGTTGCTTATTCTCCTTTGTTTTTAATATGAATTTATCTTATATCACTGTATTTGTTTTTTATATCAACTATGGAATGATTCTTCACGTTGCTGTAGCATAATATACTGCTACAAGTAAAATAAACTTTACTTTTTCAAGAATATTATGAATGCATGCATAATATTTAAAAAAATGGTGGACGTTACTACAAAAGCGTTTATAAACTAAATTACAAGAAAAATTAATTACTTGTGACTAACAAATGGTAAAATAATGTTAAAAGAAACAGACTAATGATTTAAATTTAATGAGAAACTAAAATACAAAATTCTGACAATAACCAAAAATTTCAATAAAATAACTAGTCATTTTACGCGCAAGGTCCGCAATTTTTCTTTGTAAACTGTAAGCACGCTGGTTTTCCACAAGAAAAGCACACATAAAAAGTCTTTCGCTTTAATGCACTTGGGCATAAGTAACACGTTTTCTTTTTCTCAAGCCTTTCTTCAAAATCTGCTTCTTTTTGTCGTTTTTGTCCTAGTATTCGTTCAATACCATATAATAATTTTCTCGGGATTCTGGGATTTTCGAGTCTTCTTTGTAGATGAGGTAAAACTAATTGTTTTGCCAACTCCTTTGTGTAGTTTAGCCTTTCCATATTATCTTCTTGTAGTGATTGGTACACAATGCGAATTATCAGCAGCTATATCAGTGATGCGGTAAAAATAGTAAGTGGCCATCGGCGAAAAGGACGTTTTACAGAATATTTGGCACACTTGGCATCTAAAGTGTCGACACCTCCTTTCGTACGATTATAATGAGCTATAAATTCTGGTTTTCCAGTAATCTGATCCATGCCTATTGAATGGTGCATCGAAGAAATAAGTAAAACAGCCCTCGATTTTTTTGGCACATGCGAAATTAGGGATAAACTTTTCGTAAATCCGTAAGTAGTTGAATTTACTTGCCTACATCGGTGTGGCTGGAATTCCGGAGGGATTTCCCGTTTATGTTTCTTGAGGGTTCCCACATACGTTAACTTCTTTTCTTCTAACTGCTTTACTAATTCAACAAAACTAAACCAATTATCGGCTGTGATATTACGGTTAGTTCCATAAATAGGTTTAGCAAGCCGAAGAACAGATTGAGTTGGTTTATTCATCTTCCTTTCTTCCTCAGATAACCCAGTTCTGTCAGTGTCCTTGCCTTTATGGTTCTTTGGTGCCTTGGATCTATCTTTTTTCTTTCTTCTCTATCCAGAGGTTTATCAAAACGTAAACATTTTAGAAATATTGCAAATCTTTCTTTTGACATAACACATCTAAATATATCTCTACCAGTACCATCTGTAGCAAATATAGAATTTATATCTTCGTCATTGAATTTGAAAGCTGATGAGTATAAAAGCAATCCCAAAAAGGCTTTTAGTTCTATTTCATCAATTTCATTTAGTTCTGGTCTATTCATTCTTTTATAGTTTTCACGAATTGCACGTAATTTATTATTTGTTCATTTACGTATTTCTTGTATTATATCATCAGAAATAAGAAAATTAAAAAAAAAAATGAAGTTTCGTTTCTTACATCTCTGGACCGCACAGCTGGTAATTTTGTTACAAGGTTGTGTAACGGAGTTTTTACATTTTTCGAGGGTGCAGTAGTAGACCACTTAAAACGATTTTTGCCATAAAAATGTGACTTACCATTATCATTTAAATGATATTCGTCTTCAGAACCTTCCGACTGCTCACTTCTGGTGTCGTGTGAACTTTCAATACATACTTCTTCGCTTGCATCGTCAACATCACTATCACTAAAATATTCTAAATCACTAGGTACTTCGTCAGCCCATTGAGATAAAACAGCCTCAAAATCATCATCTGAAAGCTTTACAGTTTTGCGGCTAAATTTAGAACAACTGGATGAACTTGCTGCCATACTAACAGCAAAAGAATACACTACACTGCTTTTAGCTATAGAAATGTAAATACTGACATGCGGTACTTGATACCGCAGGAAAACTTTATGTCAACGTAGCTCAAAGACTAAACGTGTACTAAAACTGCAGCAGTTGAGAGCAGATACAATTAAACCCCACTTGAAGGTACACAGATGGTGTTCTAAGAATCTTTTATAAAACACGTTTTACAACAAAATATATTTTCGGCTCGGTATGGCATACCCACAGCCACCTTTACTTCCAAGCCATGAAGTAGAAATTTGGCAACAACGCGTGGTAGTCCGACTGTGGTTTGTTTTGGTTTAACATTTCATATAGGAAGGCTTGTAAAGTTTGTTGAATTTATTGTTTTTTTAACTTTATTCGAATGTTTTATTTGTAAATTGTGTTTAAATCAATTAGAAAATATTAATATAAGTGAAATTTCATTAAATTTAGAACTTTTAGAAGATTCTTAACGACAATTTAAAAGGCAAGTATAAATATAACCTACAAAACAAACTGAAAATAATAATACTTTTGCTTCTTGTTACAAAATATGTAAACTAAAAACAACAATAATAATACTTTTGTTTTTTGTTACAGATGCTCTGGCATTGTTGTGTACCTGGTTGCAAAACTAATTATGCCAGTACTTTAAAAACGAAACAGGCAGAAAGTATGTTTTTGTTTCCCAAAGATCCCCAAAGAAGGTATACTGGGTTATGCTCTATTCATAGAGAAGGCTGTACAATTACCAAATCTTCCGTAGTATGTGCCAAACATTTTCATGAAGATGATATTCAGAGGACTGAACAATGAGAAGATAAAGATGGAAATGTACACATTGAAAAGTTAATATTTCCCAAATTAAAAGGCAATGCAGTTCATAATATATTTCCTGAAGTACCATCATATGTAACTGTTCATCATACTAAAGAAAGAAGGAATCCCGAAGACAGAAGAAACTTTTTGCATAAGAAGAGGGAACTAGAGATAACATAATTATGTCAATTAGACTTAGACAATAATATCCCATTGAAAAACTGGACAAGTAAAATTACAAGTGACTGTGTATATTTCTATGTATTAAACATTAATCAGTTGGGACACAAGTGTGATAATATTTGTGTAATATGTAGTGTAATAGTTAGCAGTAATTTTAGTGTAATCGTCAATGTAGGTAAGAATAGATTAAGTGGTAATGATTTGAAATGGATTTTACAATATAGTAAATTAACAAGATGGTCACAATTAGAGAACTTACTTTCTCATTTAGATCTGCTTTTTAGATAAGTGATAACAAATTTGAGTATTACATTCAAAAATCTTTTGAGAATATAGGCTATTTTAAATCGATATACAAGTTATAAATGGTATGTTACATTCAACACATTTTTCATGTATACCTCTTTTAACTTGGTCTTTATGACAACAAACCTATTCATATTTAAAATTGCTACTTTTGTATATCTAAGTATGAAAATTCAACAAAAGTTATAAGTAAATAGTAAAATATTTAATTTTCAATTAGATTAATTTAGAACCATATTTATATTGTGTCTGATTTCTTAGGATGAATTTTTTAATCATAATAGTTACACTAAGTTTTTACTTAGCACAAATTTTATATCTTTTGTATTTTTAATAATCTTTTTAAATGTCGTGTTAATGTATTGTGTTATTTATATGCTTAAGTACTTAATATTTAAAATTTCTAGACATTCTTGACTGCATTTGATTGTAAGATTAACTGTTTGACACTGTATTTTAAGTGCAATAAATTTTACTCTAGTGATTATTTTATTGATAATATAACCTAAATAATAATAAAACTTTATATATATTTACTAGGTATATATAAGGTTTTATTAATTTAATTTCCCTAAAAATATTTCTGTAATGAATTGAAGTTTTCAAAATATCAGTTTCCTAAAATTCAAATTAGTTTAATATTCTGGTAGACCTTACAGCTGATTATCGGACTACCGACGTCATAGAATGCGGTGTTGCCTTTTTTACTTCATGGCTTGGAAGTAAAGGTGGCTGTGGCATACCGCATGTCAGTGGTTAAGGGTTAATACATCTATTTAAGATTATTTTGTCAAATTACCAAACCTTAGCGGTTTGTAAGGGGTTTATGGTCTATACCTGTCACGGGGTGCAGGTAGGTTAGTGATCAGTTTACCAATCTCTCGGGGTCTATATTAAAATCCCTATTTATTATGACGGTATCCCTACCTTATGACGGTGATAAGTTTGTAATATGTAGAGTAGAGGTATTTATGCTAATTGGTGATGAGTTTACGTGTACCCCCGAAAACTGGATAATTAAGAGGTAAAAATAAAAAAAATAGTGGAGATACCGTAAGGAGTTCGAGTTATGTAGATCTTTCCATAATTTGTAGTTTTCATATTAGGTATAATTTTTTAATTTTGTTAGCAGCAATCCAATATTATATATTTAGATGCAGTTTAGTTATATATTATACCATTGTTTTTTTATCCGTTAAAAATGTGAGCCTGTTTACTAGGAAAGCCAAAGTCGGCTGCCTTGTAAGGGGACTTTATATATAAAATATAAGGTAATTTTTTTTAATTAATGTGGTTAAAATCGATTTAAAATCAGATAACGAATATATTGTTGAAAACAAAGACATACTTACCCTACTACATGGTATTATTTCCAAACTGCCTCCACACTGCCATACTCTAAAAGATATTTCTAAGTTTTCTCCTCCCCATACATCCATTTTCATATCATATTTTCCCAGTTTTTCGAAATATGCCTTATTAATAACGAATAATCCGCCTGCTATCATTGGCGTTCTTATAGGCTAAAATAATACAATACAATACTAAAATAAATACAATAGCTTGTTTACAGCATTAATATAGGATTTTTATAATTACAGTAGTAAGTTATGATATTTTAAATATTATACACGATGAAAAGCTATGAACAATATTAAAACATTTTATATATTTCAAATTTTAACTAAAAATTTGACTTTAACTAAGAATTTAACTAAAAACTTCCAAAATAGAGCCTTTTTATTTATTTTATTAATATAATCTATGTATGTCTTTAAGATATATTTCTTCATAAGGTTATTGAGTTCAATGACCATAAAGCAATCAATTTGATCGGTCACGTTTTGTAGACAATTCCACAAGGAAGACATTACGATGCGAAATATGTCCTTTATAGTATTTAGTCAGTATAGAATTTTATTTCGGATTAAAATAAGTCAAGATTAACCAATTCGATTGCTTTATGTTCGAGACTCGGTTAAGAATACGTGAATGTTGTATACACTGTTCTTTTACACAGAAATATGTAATAACGTGTTCATTACTATTCGGCCCGGTACACACACTGTACAATGCGGTTGTATGTAAATATAATATTAAAAATACCTGGACTAAGTATTGAAACGGAAGAGACACGGCACGGGTATGTATAAATCGACCTTTACACGCACAAAGGTCGATTTATACATATCCGGGCCGTGTCCGTTCTGTGTCAGTGCCGAGTCCGGGTATTTTTAATGTTATATTTACATACAACCGCGTTGTAGCAGTGTGCGTACCGGCCCGAATAGAAATCAAAACGTTGTTACATATTTATGTGTAAAGAGTTGAAGAGAGAGTTGAAAATATTGTGGATTGGATAGAAGATCTCACCGTTTTGGCATGATTACTTAATACAGAGGAATAGCAAGAGCAGAAAAAGCGGAAACAAAGAAATTGAATTGGGCATCCTCAGTGAAAAAAAAAAAAGAAAACCGAAGTAAAATTTAAAATATACAGAAAATTATTGGACGATGAAACAAAATTTTACTTTTCTTTTCTTTTGATTTAATACATTAAAAAAAATATAAAATACTAACCACAAAATAACAGGCCGGGCACGGACGGCGCCCGTCCGGAAAACGTCAATGTATAAATATACTCATAAAGGTTGATTCAGACACATCAGTCACGTCTCGTCACAGTCCTGGCGCCGAACCGAACAATCCGTCATACAAAATATTCTTTAATAGAAATATGGCGCCGGCATACACATTCATCAGGCGACGAACAGTTTCACAGCTGTCAGATAATTAATATTTCTGTGACCAAACAGGACCGGTTCGGCGCCGAGACTGTGACGGACTGATGTGTCTGAATCGAACTCAAGAGTACATTATTGTTTTTTTTTCGCTGGTCACTGTCATAACACGGAACGGACACGGCACGAATATGTGTAAATCAACCTTAATAGTGAAAATCGACCAGTAAATAAGCGTTCGAAAAATAAGTTAAGCGTTTTATGGAGTGACCTTATTGGAAGACACGTTTCTAGATTAACACGTCACCGAGAGGCCCGCAAATTGGATTTGGTACTTACAAAGTAAGTTTTATAGTTGAAAAAATTAGTACGAATTATTTTTAATACATTTTATTTTATTTTAGGCTAAGGAAAAGCCACTTTTAACATTACAACAAAAGAAAAATAGACTAAGATGGTCAAAAGAGCATAAAGATTGGACTTGATCGCAATGGGATTTAATACAATGGAGTGATGAGTCCCAATTCGAAGTGTGTGTTGGAGACAGTTGGAGTTGCGTCATTTTCAGGAAATATGAAGCTTTCCATCCAGACTGTCTGAAGAGAAAAGTCAAATTTCTTGCAGTCATGATCTAAAGGTGTGGGAAAGTTACATTTTATTGATGAGATTGTAAACACGGACAAATATTTGAATATTTTTAAAGAATTTCTTTTACCGATTATGGAACACCGTTTAACATCAGCGGAAGATTTTGTCTTCCAACAGGACGGTGCAGGTTGTCATACCTCAAAAAGAGTTTAAAATGCATTGAAGACCATAGCCTACCACTTCTGGAATGGGTTTCGAGCAGTTCCGACTTGTCCCCGATAGACTTTGTGGCGCGAAATGAAAAAAGCTTTGAGAAAACATCCTGCCAGGTCCATCAACGATTTGAAACAAAATTTTTAAGAAATTTGGGATTCGTTTACATTAGAATTTTGTCAGAACTTAAAACTATGCCTCAAAGAATAGTGGATGTCATTAAAAATAAAGGAGATGTAACGCAGTGGTAAACTTTCACATTTTTTTTGTTAATATTACATAAGTACTCTACGTGTTTTTTAAATTTATTATTATTCTGTTTAATCAACAGTTTTTATTATGTTATTAATTATTTTCTATAATTAGATAATTCAAAAATGTTGTTCGATGCATTAAAACTTCTAACATTTACGCTGGAATTTCCATAGGGTGGAAACCGCTTATTGAATAAAATTATTTGTGTCATTGTTTTAAAAAGTTATAATTAACGCTGAGACTGCAGGATAATGACCGGCTGTACATAGGGCAGATAAGAATGCAATGCTTTAGAGATATTGGTATTCAGGTACTAGTCTGGCTTACTACAAGTCCAAACCTTAACCCCATAGGACATTTGTGGGACAAATTGAGAAGAATGGTTAGGCAAAATAATGGCGAGTTTGAAACTGTGGTAGAGTTGGAAGGGGCGCTGGTAAACGAGTGGATAGAAATATCGTAAAACTAGATTGTTGCTTTGTTCCATTCTATGCCAAAAACGATGAGAGCTGTTAGTAGAGTTGCAAACAAGGTAGTACGTTGACCTAATAGAAACTTCAGGACTAAACTAGATATCAGTGTTTTAATAATTATTTAATAGTACATTTATTAATGAAAGCACTAATATTTGTAATATTTTGGATATTTTCTCGATATTTAAGAGAATATCTGGTCTACGCCATCAATACAATACGTCGTAAGATTTTGTGTTCTTACTCTAAAAATTCATTTTTTGAGTTGATACTTATAAATTTAGATATCAGTTTTTAATACATTTGTAAGGATATGTAAAAAATGTAATAACAATTTATTTACCTGCGTAGGATCTTTCTGTCGAGATTCTCGGTCAGCATAACTTAAATATTCCCATTTAAAGACTAGATTCCAATCAAATCCACCTCGTAAATCGGCAGACGCACCAATATACTGGAAAGTATCCATACTAATAACATCTATCACAGGACAAACAACCCTAGTGGGGTCCTAAAAAAAAATTAACGCTGTAATAAAATCACATGTTTTTAAATCTTTGGTAAATTTTGTTAAACCCGCTTTACTGGTCTAACTATTAGGCTAGCAAAGCCTCTTATTTACTCCAGACTTTGTAAACAAGAACCTACGTGAAGTAGATTAAATTACTGCATGTTTATCTTTCAGGTAATTACATTCCAATTTTATGCGGAAGTTAGGAATAAAATGTAGTTAGAGTTTCATATAAGGATTTTAAACAAGGCAAAATCTTGATTACTTTTAAGCACTGTAAGTAAATACTTTACTTAGATTTTTAGCGTATACTGTAAACAAGAAGTTATATAAATATGTGATATTAAGTAAATTAATTTAATATATAACGAGCGGTAGTTGAGGTAATTAATTTTAAAATTTCAACAAGTTTAAAGCAATTGAACGCTGAGGTAAATTTAATATGGTATAAATTTAATTAAACTTTAAGATACAAAACTAAAAAACTCGTTACCGGTAATATACACAAAAAAAGTAAAAATATGTTCTATGCGAATATTAAATAGTTTTGGAGATATTTTAAATTGTAGTGGAAAAGGGGATATTTCATGAAATTAGTTTATTGTTCTTATTTTCTTTACTACATAGTCTCTCTTTATAACGATTCTCTATATAACAATAATTCCTCTATAACGATGAAAATAGTAAACGTTGGTTGGTCCGTCATAAGAACAATGTAATAATTTTTTCTCTATACAATATCGTTCTCTCTTTATAGCGATGATTTTCAGCGTTCAATAGTCGATGATAAATGTATTATTTTATTTGCGTCCAGCGGTTGTTTACTTTTGCGAGTTGTGTCTTAGTCAGTCAATATGTTTTCGAAAAAGCCTAAAGTGCTCTCGATGGAAGAAAAGTTATCGATAGCTCAAGCAATTGGATGTCGTTCGCCGTACGGGGCTATCTCAGTCAACTGTGGCTCCGATATGGAAGGACAGAAAATAGTGGCTTGAAGCGGAGATGAAGGGCGGTAGCAGGAAGAAGTTGCGGAAACCTCAGCAGCAGCGTATGAACCATATTCCACTTTCTGGGCTGGATAAAATTTCTTTGCAACCCAGAGCCAAAACCAGCTCCAAGCCCTCAGCAGGAGGTACTATATAGCAGTAGTATAGGAGTAGCAGTAAATCTATATAAAGTAGCAGGTTTTGCAGAACCCTCAACACGCAGAGGCGTTGCAGAGCACCTAGAGAAAATTAAACAGATCGCGGACGAACGGCATGCCTTACACAAGGCTCGAACACCACGAAAGTGACTAAAATTCAGGAAAAGATTCCTTGGAATAGTGAAGGATGAATTGCCTGAGTATATTTCTCTTTCCCATGTTCAATGGCCGGCGGTCCCTAGACTTTAAAACTTGGAAAACTATAAATAGGATAAGAACGGGGGGGGGGTCGCCCAGTAAAATCAAACATGGTAAAATGGGGAAAAATAAACCAAGATAATGTGAACTGTGACTGTGGAGAAGTACAGAATATGGAACATCTGCTTAGATGCAGAAATTTATGGCTTGCCAACAAAGATGGAACAGACATAGACCGATAATGGGCCGAAATTTTATGAATGGCATGAATTTCCGGACACGATAAAAAAAGCAGGCATTGAATGCGGCAAAATACTGCATCGATTCTTCATTCACCAAGAAGACGATATGAGTGATGTGGAAGATTCTATGTGTCTTTAGGACAAGGTCAGTTCTGTGGAAAGGGAAAAGGAAAAAGACCAAGGGGACAGACTTTTTTGGTAATGTAGGCTAAGTATATTTTACAGTAGTGTATTATTTTGTTATTCTACACTACACATGTTTTAATTGTACAATCATTTTTTTATACTGTATTGCTTATATTATCCATTCTACGGAATGGAGTCATGGACGTTGAAAAAGATTGATATTAAAAAATTGGAGGCATTTGAACTGTGGATGTATCGCAGAATCCTGAGAATATCTTGGACCGAGAGAGTCACAAATGTCGAGGTCTTGAGAAGAATGAATAAAGAAAGGAAGTCATATTTACAATCAAAAAACGAAATAATTATGCAAGGGAAAATAGCAGGAAAAATGTGCCATAGGAAGAAGACGAAACTCGTGGCTAAAGAATCTACGGGAATGGTATAGCTGTAGCAACAACGAATTGTTTCGGTCAGCAGTTTCGAAAATACGTATAGCCCTGATGATCGCCAACCTTCGGAACGAAGATGGCACTTGAAGAAGAAGAAGCTTATATTATTATTTAATAAATCTACGTGGTGTATAATACAGTGTTATTTCATCCATATTCGTTTTGATATTTTTTTTTAAATTAAAATAGGTTATTTAGGACAGTATTATTAATATTACAGTACCGAATTTTGTATAACGATCTCTCTGTATAACGATCTCTCCTTATAACGATGAAAATCCCTGGTCCCTTGCATATCGTTATATAGAGAGAGGACTGTATTTAAAAAATATCTAAAACAACACATAAAAAACTAAAAGAAAGAAAGGTATTTTCATTGAAAAAGATGTTTGAAATGAGCTTCCATAACGTCAACATAGGCTTGAAGACGGTTTTCGAACGATCTACTTAAAAAACACATAACAATTTGAAATGCATTTCTGATTCTGACCTCATCTCATCAATTACACAGACCGAAAAAAATTGACCAATATTCGGACCCAGAGATCAGAATATATTTTTCAAAAGTTTTTTGTGCGCTGAATCTGAATCTGAGATCCAAATTTCCAAATTGGCTCTGGTTTCTGAAATATTCAAACCTAAAATTGCAAAAATAGTGGCTTTTGTATAGACATATACAAATAGACTGAGTGCTATAATACAGTCGCGTTTGTCCAGTGCGACAGAGAAAAGTAACGCCAAGCAATTCCTGAATCTCTTTCTAATTTGTGAGGTTTATCGACCATGTAACCTAAATGACCAATGAGAAGGTCACGTGGTCAATACAGCCGGCTCATTAGAAAGCGATGCTATACCATGCTAAAATGGTATAGATTATGAAGAATTAATCCGAGGACACCGGTATACAATAGGCTCAAATGCTCCGTTGCTCAGTACTAGTAGATTATGGGCGGGGTCGTTTTTAAAGGTCAGTAATACAAGAAAGCGTCAAGTATATTACAAACCAGCGGCTCCAACCACTAGCAGAAAATATTTTAGAGCATCAGACGGGCTTTCGACGGCAAAGATCGACACTGGATCAAATATTTACAGCCAAACAAAACTTAAGTAAATTAAGATAGATTAGATTAGAAGATATCAAATTTTTACCGTCCTGCTGATACAAGTTTTATTTATATAACATTGATTTCTGGCACGTAACTGACATGGAAAATCGACGGTTGCTTCAAGCGTTGTTTCTAAGAGAACGGTATATGCTACACAAAAAATGCTTATAAACATTTTTGTTTAAAATTATCTCAGTTTTAAGGGGACGCCAGTGGGTAAAAGTTGTAAACTTTCTTGCATCTTTTTTGGGGTCCCAAAATTAATATTCTTTGCAAAATTTAGCTTGCTCTTATGATATTTAGGGGTCAACTCTCTGACGACTCGACTATGTATGACAGCAGTCAGACTATTTGTATTTATAATTATGTCTGCTATGGCCGTTTTTGAGGTTATTTCACATCGTATGATAATTTTCCTTCCAGAAACTGTTATAAACCTGAAGTATTGGTCTCAGTATTTTAACTGACGTTGAGTTTACTCAGATACCTTCTCTGTTCGCATTCGAGATTCGAGAGATCGCATTTTAAAGTTTCTTTTATGAATGAACCATTAATGGAAATAAAACCCTTGATGAATGGACCTCATAAATTCCAATAACCTCAAAACCTGACGTTAATGATGGAAGTTTAATGCTAGTCACTTAACAGAAATAATGCTTCAGTTAAACATGGACGTAAGTCACACAAACGATCGTTTGAATTAAAGCGAGATTTTATAAAAAAAGTAAACCTAAGTTTACAGTTAATAGATCTGAAACAGTAGAAACACCATTATGAGGTCTTACTGACAGAGGATAGATGTAAATTCCAAGAGATCGAAATGGAAGAAATATCCGAACACACACAAATAATTGGGATAACAACCGAAGAGTTAAACGATGCCCTCAAAAGATCGAAAAACGGTAAAGCAGCAGGACTTGGAGATATTCCAATTCAGTTGGTAAAAATATTACATGAGATGTTGGTTCAGCTATTTAACAAATGCTTAAAAGGACAAAATATCCCTGATGGTTGGAATATTGGATACATAGGCTCAATATTCAAGAAAGGGGATAATCGCAAATGCTCTAATTATAGGGGAATAACTGTTATCAGCTCAGTGGGGAGGTTGCACGGTCGAATAATAAAAAAAGAATAGAATCAGAATACGAAGAGATAGAAGAACAAAATGGATTTCGTGCAGGTAGATCGTGCACTGATGGTATATTTGTTCTGCAGCAGGTAATCGAAAAACGGATGGCAAGGAATCTATTTACCCACCTATTGTTTGTAGATTTAGAGAAGGCATACGATACGGTACCTTTGAAAAAACTGTTTCAAACATTGACGAAAGTAGGTCTCAGTAGAGAGTATGTGGATGCTATCGCAAATATATACAAAAATGCAAGAAGTGTCGTTAAAGAAGGAAACTTTATATCTGAATCATTTCCAATATCAAAGGAGCTTAAACAAGGATGTTGTCTATCTCCGACCTTAATCATCGCTAGAGCAGTGGAGGAAACAAGTATCCAGAATGGGAACAGACATAGGCCATGGTAAATGTCTAACACCTTTATTTTTCGCAGATGATCAGGTAGTCGTAGCGAATGATGAGAAAGACATGGACTACATGTTTAGAAAACTAAAGAAAGAATATGAAAAATGGGGCCTCAATATGAATATGTCAAAGACAGAGTATCTTAAAATAGGAGATGATGAAGAAGATCCAGAGTTATAAATTAGATACACAAAAACATGC